ACCTCACTCGATTTCTCCGCTTACGTTTGCCCTTCCCCTACAGTGTGATTCGTAAGAGACGCGCCCTTCTTGAAATTACGGTGCGGAGCGGGTTTCCGTTGATCAGGTTTCCTTGAAAAGCCCTCTTTCCTTTCATCCTTTTCAACGCGCACTGCCCTGCTATGCAACTTTCGGCGAGTATAATACTCCTCAGCTAACTCTGCTGCCTTGTTTAGCTGTACTTCACCAAGTCTGTCCTGCAGCCAATTGCTCCAATGCAACGCATTCCACCACTTTATCGCGGTCGTCATAAACACCTTTGCCCTTGAGCCATTCAATTAAATCGGCTTTAAGACGAAACGCGAAGTCAACGTATGACTCATTCCCCTTTTTAGCATACCGGAACCTTTGCTTGAAAGCCTCGGGTGACAACTTATAACGTCTCAAGAGCACTTCCTTAACCTCGTCATAGCTCTCGAACGCTTCCCTCGACAAGCAAGTTATCGCGTCGGACACTTCGCCGGAAAGAAGAGCTAACAGGTTCTGCGCCCAAAGAGACCACTCCAAAGCGTTTCGCTCACAGACGTGTTCAAACTTGACGAGATACTTCGCCATGTCCTCGCCTACTACGAACGGTGGCAGTTGGTCCCGAATTCTAAAACCGCTGACCTGAATTGTCGGAAAAGCTACGCTAGGCGCCTGCGAACACTGTAGGATTACCAATTCTAGTCGTTTCAACTCGAGGCGCTCCTGTCTCTCGGCCTCCTCGCGGCGTCCTCGCCTTTCAGCTTCTTCACGTTCGCGAGCTTCTACTTCTCGCCTTTCAGCCTCCTCACGGCGTGCTTTGATATTCACCCAGGCCTCATCGACTTCCTCAGCCGACACTCCCTCATCCTTCATGATCTCAAGGATCACTTGCTTTCGTTTCGTACAGCCTAAAGTAATGCCGAGTTCCTCACAAATTTCGATGCGTTCCTTCACTTTAAGGTTCTCCATCGTTCACACTAGCCTCTTGCTGTTTGCCCCTGTTAACAATTTACTTGTCGTACCCACTATAAGTCAACTAGCAAGACGCGCAAGCAATTTTTCCCACTCCCGTGTTCACCCCCTCCGCATTAACTTTGGTTTCAAAGCGCTTCGACTTGGCTTGAAACGATCAAAGCTCACTTCAATGCTTCACACAGCCCTTCTCTTAACTACTACAACCTGAGCTAGAGTAGTCTGGTGAACTGAGGGGAAAACATCAGGCACTCACCGCATCGATGTCGCTGACGCCGGCCGATCCCGCAGCTGCCAACCACTGTTGCGAGGCGCGCCTCCGACAACGTTACGAAGGGCGCCTCGAAATCTCACCGCTGCAACCACTGTTTCGAAAGACGGCGACGCCAACACGGTCCCGAAGGCGCCACTACTTCGAATTCAACCGGGAAGGTCACCAGCCGTTTGGTAGCGTAGGTTTCTCAGCTCGCGACTGCTTTTGCGCAGAGCTGATAGACGAGCGGACGAGACGACGGTGAGTTAAACAAGGTTTATGTACAGCATATATACAGAGGCGTTACAAATTCGGTACTGGGGCCGACAGAGAAGTGAAGAGCCGAGCTCTTCTCTCTAACACATAGCTCTACTCTCAAAATGGGCCTGCTGTCAAAGGGGTCTCTCTCGACGCGCCGCAGGGCTTCTTTTATATGCCCCGGGTCCAACCCGAAGCGCCGCTGGGCCGCGTCCTTCTTTCTCATCGAATCTGGAGAGGCTGCGCTGCAGGTGGCTGCACCCAAGGACGAGTGACGTCGCCGCGCATTGCGTCAGCCGCCAGACAGGAAGACGCCGGTTGTTTACTCGACGGGCTCGCTTGCTGAGGTGACTCACTGCACGTGGGCGACAGAAAAGCGCCGTGTGTTGACACCGTTGAGCTGTTCATCGCGTCAGGCGGCTCGCGGGCTGGCCTTGACACAGATTGCATTTTTCAGAGGCACGGACGTTCGCTGTCGACTCGCAGGCATAACAGTACATACCTGCAAACCTGGCAACTAAGAAGTTCGTAAAACCCCCGAGTGGGGAAAGAGGCGGGAGGGGGTCACCAACTTTTTCTTTAATTTGTAGCTGTGGTGGATATGCCTTTAGCAACAAGCATAATCCTGTTTTGCTGCCATGAGTCAAATCGAAACGCTGAATTATTTCCCCCCATATTTGGCACCAAAAGAGAAAAAAAAAAGCATCTTGGAAAACAAGAAAGTGGGGGGTGGGGGGAGTCCAGAACGCAAGCGGGAACATCGGTGTTGTGGTCTCATAATGGCTTGGAGGGGCCGAACATAGGAGGGTAGGGTTTTCCACTAAGGTGAGAGTCTCAAATGGGGAGCGCAAATGCTCGCGAAATTTCGCGTCTTCAAAACAACTAGCAAAACAAATGATGTCTGTAAAAACAATTCGTGTATATCTTCAAACGTGAACGGATGGGACGGCGCAGCTGGCTGCTGCGAAAGCGCGGGTCAGAGCTTTGGATGTGCTTGCTACTAGATTCTTTTGTAGAGGAACGCCAAAACGCTTCTACCCTTTTTTTATGTCTTTACCTCCTTTAATCTACCGCTACGACAGCCATGTGCCCTCGGAGCTCGTAGACCGGGACCATGGTTTTGTGTGCGGCAGTTGCGGCAAACGGTAGTTTTGTTTTCAATCCACGTGCCCTCAAAACTAAATCGTTTTATGCTATCTATGATCGCGACTGGCGCGTTTTTGTCCACAAAAGCCGCAAAAATGTTTGCTTTCCAGAAACATCTGTGACTTTGCGGAAAGCAGCTTTTCTTTGATTGGTCGAGCACTGGTCGCGTGCACACTTTCGGAGTTGTGTCAGTAATGTTGTCGCCATAAACGATCGTGTCGAACGACCATGGTTTCATCCACAACAGTTGTGGCAACGACAATCACACGCACTGTCTTTTACAGTGCGTGTGCTGGTTGCACGCGTACTTCGGATTCGAAGGTTCGAGCATGCTGCTCTCGATCGGCTTTCGTTCGACCGTTTTAGTACTGAAGTTCATACCACACGTGGCGATTAAGAAAATTGTTCGGAACATTTGAATTTCGGCCACTGGATACATAAATTTGGCTTGGGAATTTCATGAATTCGTAGCTGCCGCGATTTTGCATCACTGAGGCTCTATTGTACGTTCAGGTGATCGCCTCTGAAACTAGTTTACAATAAAATGCGGTGAGCTCGCAAAAAGCCTGTAACAGACTGACGTACATTTTTGTCAATGGGGCCAGATTTCGCACACAAATTTCGATTTCCGGGAGATTTTCATGGCAACTGTACAAACAGAAGACCCAGTGGAAATCTGGGAGTCTCCCGGACAATGCAGGAGACTTGGAAGTTATGTGATGATGATAACACGAATACATATTGTTCTCTCCTGGTGTCAGAATATACCGTATTTACTCACGTAATCCTCGCACTCGCATAATTCTCGCACCCCCCACATCGCCCCCCAAAAAATGATTTTTTTCCTCAAGTAATTATCGCACCCCCGAAAACTGCCGCAATAATGTTGTCTGCTCATTCCAGCCATTGATGATGATAGCCCGCACCATCTGGCGCCATCTCTTAAGCATCAAACGTATTGCACGGAGATCCGATCCAATCCAAGCCAAGCCAAGCCGAAGTGGCCAGTGCACGTTGCGGCGTCTTTTGTGTGTTGTGTCGGTAATCTTGGCACGTTATGGGGCGATACTGAAGCAACACGGCTGCTTCAAGTTGCAAGTGATAGATCATGCGCTAAACAACGGCAAGAGGGCCGCCAGTAGGCCCTTCGGAGCCTACGAGTTTTGTGTTCTCTACTGGTGACGGCAGCTGAAAGCCACCAAGACGCGTTGGGCCTGCCGTGTGCCTAAAACTGGGATCGATGGTAAACTTTATTTCTTCAGAAGGGAACTGCGGACGATTCTGTTAAATAGCTATCAGCCCAATACTGACGTCCTACGCTTACTTTTTGAGGGCTCCTCTTGAGCGCCGACCGTTACCTCTACGCCCGCAACGCCCACAAGCTTCACGTATAGTATTCTAATTCTCGACTATTTGCTTCAATTTTTGTGTTTCAAATAAATCTTGCCTTGTGTTGAACCTCTGCTTTTATTGTTGATTGATTGATATGTGGGGTTTAACGTCCCAAAACCACTATATGATTACGAGAGACGCCGTAGTGGAGGGCTCCGGAAATTTAGACCACCTGGGGTTCTTTAACGTGCACCCAAATCTGAGCACACGGGCCTACAACATTTCCGCCTCCATCGGAACTGCTTTTATTGTTGAGGTAAGTTCTAATTAGTACTTCTTAAAGCTTGCTGTAGGGTGCTTTTGTGAGAATTCCGATTTGCAGCCACTTCGTTTTCTTTTTCGCTCTCCGAGTTTTCGTGGAAAGTTTTCCCCGCGTATTTCTCGCACCCCCCAACTTTGCATCCATTTTCTGGCAAAAAAAAAGTGCGAGGATTATGCGAGTAAATACGGTAGCACAACGCCGTTTTTGCGCCTCTGCGACTAGCTATGGCAATGCACCGTAGCCAATCGTGGAGGCCACGCTATTTTACTAACTTAATTTTTTTATCAGAAATAAAATATGTTTCATAAAATTTTATGGAAGATTCGTAAAATCGTAAGTGCAATCGAAATTTGCACATTTTACGGGAAAACTGGAACAGTTGGCAGGTATGTAAATATTGTGCAGGCTGGCTGGGCCATGACAGATATGCTCATTTTTCTTTATGATATGTGATATATATACTATTCGAATTTGAATTATTCGACCAAAATCACTATTTACACAAGCCCAACTATCATAGCCTACTACTCTAATGCTTGCAAATTCAATAAATAGTAATACACATACAGCCAGCTCAAAAATCAATTTCATTGCCTGTTAACGAAACTTGCCATTTCTCAAGATTTGGGACTTTCCATTGCAGAATCTGCTTATTAGTTTACTATTCTGGGACTGCAAACACATGCCAATAAGCAAGAGAAAGCCACGTACCAAGAGAGGAGGCGAACACAAATCCCAGACCGATGGCGAGGGGCCCACCCATGTTAAGGAATTTGTCACTCGGGGCACAGGCAGCCACTGTGGACAGGCCCGTCACCACACCAGCAGTGTAGCACGCAGCACGCATCATTATGGGCCCACCCAAGAGGCAGAGGGGGGCCACGAGGGCACCCATGACACCACAGTGCAAGGCCCAGGCAGCCTGTTTGGCACCGAGCCCTTCCCTGTAGGGCAGCGAGCGGGCCACCATGCCTGTGCCAATCATGGCTGCAAAGCTTGCCCCTATGGCCTGCGTAAGTGCAAAAAGACAAAAGCAATGTTTGTCAAGTGTGACTGAAACAAAAGAAGAAAGCCTTGCGAAGACTTCCCAAGAAGTGCAACATGATGTAAAAATGTCTGCACAGAGCAGTAGACAAAAGAAACCAACTATATTTGATATGATACTTATACCGAGAACGTGCTAAGGAGAATGGAATTATACTGGAGTATAATCCCGATAACTAGACACCTCTAAATTTGAACTGCATGGTTGCTTACTGAAAGTGTAGTCCTTCAATAGTCTTCTTCGTCACGGAACTTCGCTGCCACGCTATGGAGGAGCTTAATATGGTGTGGAAAGCTACCGCACCGTGGCGCCACCACTGTTTAGAGGCCACACTTCTCTGGCCCTCCAGTTTGGTTCCGTAGAAATCACACACACTACCACATATGCAGCCAGTGCCAGCCGAAAGTTTGCACGTGTATTCTGTACCTGTGATTCCTTTTTCCATTAGGGCAACTTCAGGTATAGTACAGCAAGCTGCTTGTTTGCGTGAATACGTTCAGGTGCTGCGTACCGAGGTACTATTCCTAATGGGTGCTACTGAAAATATGTTGCTTTTTTTTTACATGCCAAGTGCTCGTGGAAACTTCAAGAACTCTGAGCCATAACGTGGCAAGAAACTGACCACTGCAGCATTGATTATAAGTGTGTGCGAGTCAGCGAAGCATTGTGGTTCGTTAGACATTATCCATGTGAACGATTTCACGATAAATAGTGACACCATATCATTGCCAAGAGAGGAGTCGCGCCTCAGGCTTAACACCATTTTTCGTATGTTCGACAACCTGCCAGCATACTTTACGACCCCGACTCTTAGAAAACCACTGAAAGAACCTCACAATCCATCGTGTGCAAGGAAAGTTTCCAGCCGAGATAAATGGACGATTATCCACTTATCCTAATAATTTAAAAAAGCAAGATTCCTGTGTGAACAGTTCTTTTGAACTCTACACTACCTTAGTGCTGACTGAAGGCGAAAATTGTCCATTATATCTCGACCATAAGAATTTGCATGGCTTCATTTTCTTTTAATAAAGATTGCGGTTATAATCCTATTAGGCATCCTGGTTCACCCCGGGAGTATGGAGGACATATTAAAGGGGCACTAAAGGCAAATATTAAGCTGACGTTGAGTGCTTTCTTAACAAGAAAATGCTTATTTTGATGTAACATCATATTGTAGTGATCTGCACAGCGTTGATCCACTTCCAATCACCCACCTGAAAACGGACCTTCTGACATGGCAGTCGCCTTACTCAACATAGTGTGCCTTTACTATACGGCCGCCGACACTAGCAGCAGCAGAGCGAAAGTAGCGGGAGTCACAGCAGCAACAACGGCCATCGAAATTTTTTTTTTTTTACTTGCTCAGTTTAACTGGGCCCCACTAGATGACACCACCTATCCAGCCTAACCAGACAAAAATGGAACTTTTGAACAAGTTGCATCATTACCTACAGTAATGCCAGGTGGTTCTTTTTCACATTGAATTAAACAGGAACAGACAAGCAGCTTTTTCAAGCAGCTTTTTCTTATGTGTTGCAATGCAAGGAAAGGTCTTTTTCCATTGCAGCTGGTTTGATTACCAGTGATTAATTGTAGTCTGACTGTTTGATTTCATTGGGATCATTTCAAGATGTACTAATTGCAGCACGTGTGGTGTCATACATTTACCCTTGATTTCTCGATTAGTAGGGCACTGCAGTTGATAATATTGACGTTTTAGACATTCCCAAACATTTATCTTTCCCTCTTACGTAAATTGCTATTTGCCTTTAGCATTCTTTTAATCCATGCGGTTTTCATTAGAGATGTTGACAAGAAACAGTGTTAGAAAACTGTGCCGCACCCCTTCACCGATATGCCTGAAAACAAGCAAATTTCTTAAGGCCTGAAAACGATGACAGTTCCTATCAAGAAACCGTTTCATTGACTGTTATGATTTGTTGTGCCTGTTTCAACCAGCTAGATTACCGGCAGGCTCCCATCCTTGAACATTTCCTCTTACGTAAATCCCTGAACCTTAAGCTCAGATTGTCAAGCATTTAAAATGTGGGCTTTTGGGCCGTGGCTGGCCCAGAAACCCCCAGGAAGGAGACCAAAACAGACCAGCAACCATCTTGTGTAAAGTCAAGCCGAGCAGCAGATGGACAAGGAGTTTTTTAATAACGTCATGTGAAATTTTTGCTGAAAAAAAGGTGGGTTCATTACATGAGTAAATACAGTAATTGCTCGACAAAAGATGCAAATATCGTACGAAAGGAGAAGGCTTTCTAGCTGGAATGTACCAGTGAAGAAAAAATACAAGCATCACCTGTGGCAACCACTCAACTTGGTGGCCTTCCTTTTACTGCAGCGCCCTTAGCGGCTGCCTCTAGCTTCATAATTAACAAAGGCAGCAGTTTCATGACCAGAAAAGCTATTGAGGGACTATGCCGAAAGGATGTAGGCATTTGAACAAAAACCATGAATTCGAACTCTAAAAGCTAAATAGTAAAAGCTAAAAGCTTTTACTATTTATTTCACACAAACTTGTGCCTTTGAGAAAAAAGTCAGTTGTCTCTAGAATTTTTTACCTAACTTGACTACCTACAGTAGGCATGCGAGGATATAGTGCACATATAGCTACAGTTAAACCTCGTTATAACGAAATTGGAGGGCCGCCGCTATTTGCTTGTTATAACCAATATTTCCTTATAGCCGTAGCGAGCATTTACCGCAAATATTATGCACAGTACTTACCCCCAAAAAATAGCGGGCAAAATAGCATTCCGCCGCACGGCGGTATGCAACAAAATAACCGCATTCCCAAATGAAAAGGAAAAAAGTCATGCACCTGTTTTAATGCACTTCAAAATACACAGCTTGCATTTCAGGCAGACTTAGCTGCAAAGAAGTCCGTAATTAGACGTTGATGCATCTTCCTGATGCGAACGATGGCTCTCTCAGCTGCGGCCGCAATGTTCAAGCCATCTTCGCCGCCCTCGTGAGCGCCGAAGTAGCGGCGCAGTACGTCCACCGCGTCTAATGCCTCCGACGCCGTCGGCACGTTTGTCTCCTGTTCCACGTTGCCTTTCTTGCCACGTTGCCTTTCTTGGTCCCCAATTCGACGGCTCTTATCATAGCCGCCTTCTGATCTAGCGTTATGCGCTTTCGCTTCCCGCCTGGCGCATTCATGTTGCTGGAATCACGAGCGCAGCACGATAAAAGGCGGAAGCGGTTGAAAAAGAGAAGAAACACGCACGCAAAAGCAACGCGGCTCACGTCGGCGAGCGACAACACTTGCAGAGAAAGTGACTGTGAAAAGGAAGGGGCGCTCTTTTGCGCTGCCCTCTAGGAACCGGTTACTCAAGGGGAAGGGGGTATGTAAGATTAGGAAGCGCGCCTCAGTGCCATGAGAAAGGGGAGAGGGAGAATATAAAGAAGACACAAAAGAAAAGAAAAGGGCGAGATGTTCGCGGAGCGCTCCGCTGTCTGTGGTAGCCAAGCGGCGTACGTGCAGCGAACTCTCCTCCGGAAACAGCGCGTGCCGTCTGCTTTGCGCGCGTTGCTGGAGGGCGCGTGGCGGGAGTTTTGAACTGCTAAATACAGTTCTCGCGTTGCGCTCCGTCTCAAATTCGCGTTGTGCACTGTCGTGACATCGGCTCAAGATTTTACTTCCTAACAAAACTTGTTCGTTATATCCCATAACAGGCAAATTTTGCCTCGTTAAAACGAGGTTTTGAATACATTGGTTTGTATGGGGACTTTCAAGGGGAATTAGGATTTGCTCGTTATATCCATTATTTCGTTATAGCCCGTCTCGTTATAACGAGGTTTAACTGTATAATCCACCTCTGCTTGCCTGGCCTTTCTACACCTTCCGCACCACAGATCCCTTATTTTAAAGCACAGTTCTTCAATCACAGAGCTGTGAAACTCTTTATTGGATGGCTCCATGAACCAAAGTATTGACGTGCCATCGGCCAAAACTGCGGAGGCCTTCAAATTCTATTGAAAACTCTACGTGGAAAAATAAGCAAATAAATGACATTTGTCGCGCTGCGTTACACAAAGCCCGCAAGCAATATCGGATTGATGCAGCGAGCAGAGTGTTTATGTTCGCAGCTAACATTTCGCAGATGATACAGCGGCCACACAACTCTTCGACCTTTCTTGAAAGTGATTCTCTATACTCTTGCCCCAACAGCTCATGCAATGACAGTGAAGACTGTAGCAATCATGACATTGTGGTGTGTTTTCTACAGTTGATCCAGGCGGCACGTCAGTTCACTATCCTTCGCAAATTGGTTCTTGGGCATGTCCGAATTTCGGTATCGACTTTCGCAACTAGTATGGCTGAAGAACTCTGCCTGCAGGGAGTATCGGCTGCCTATGCACTCGCCCACCTGTCGCTTTGAGGAAGACGCATGCGCAGCAAGACTGAATCGCACTCTCTGCTCATGTCCTGGATGGCATCACACTTACCAACCAAGAGTTGCGCATCACCAAGTTGAGCATGGCTGGATGGCGGCTCACTGCCAATGCAGAAGCTGCCGTGATGACAATGCTACCTCCAAAGTAGGTGTAGGTGTCACGCACCCTCTGCCGTACGTACTCTGGCCATACCCTGCAATGTTTTTCCACGCAATTCAATCAAAACTGAAAGAAAAGCGAGAACAAAGCGTGCACATGAAAGAGAAACAGTCACTCAGAGTGGGAGCCTTCAGTGATGTAACTGTTGGGTTTAACAAAACGTCACGCCTCCTAGCATTTGATGATAGAGATGATGAAGCACTGACGTAATAAAAAACGAAAAGAAAAAAAAATGCCAATCTTATGTTTTTGGTACACTAGCAGACCTCACGTTCCACATCACCTAGTCAGAAATCCACTCCCATTGCAATTTGGCAAGTATTGCTTCCACTACAAGGCTAATAGTTAGTGGGCTGAGGTCAACACAGAAAATATTCATTAAAGAAACAAAAAGAACTGCGATGGTTTCAGCATGAGCAATGCGAGCACTTTGAAAAGGAAACACACAGAACAATGCTATGCATTAAGTGGCCCAGCAAACCACCTTGCTTGTCTTTATTGAAGAGATTGTGCGGCCTGTTTAGTAGTTATCTTCCACTTAACTACTGTGAATATTAAATAATGAGGCAGCCAGATTTATAAAGCAAAGGTGCAGTTGGGGTTTCATGCTCAAAAAGATTAAAATTAGGTTTGCACACTGATATACAGCAATGTACAATAGATAATGAAATAATCAGAATCAGCGAAAACTGCTGGTAATACCGAACTAAAGTTAACAAAAAACAAAAACAAGAACTTAGAACAATGAAAAAGTGCATTCATTTCTTAAGCGAACCAGAAAGGTTGTGCATTTACAAACGTGTACACGTGCTTACACGTGACCACATCAGCATGCGTTGGCCACTCTCACGTTGGCCATATCCCTTTTTATCTCCAGTTTTTTGTCAAGCAGAAAAGATTTTGATAATCTTCTCTAGTAAGAGGATACTCAAAAGCAGGCAGAAAAATTAAGGAAATGGCAAGTTCAAGAGAGAACCGTGTCCAGTATACCGGACACTGCAATTTATTTGTGAAACAAATAGCTACAGACATTCTGCTCTCTTTCTCGAAAAAAATGCTTCTTCTGGCCCAGTTACAAGGTTAGTTAGACAATACAAGAACAGTTTATTTTGACAAGACAAAAAGAAAAAAAGCTACGCAAAGATACTTGTCGCACATAGTGTTTAGCCCTATGGAGAGAAAAAAAAAAAAAAAAAAACTTAGGAGGAAGCATGCCTAGTGTCCACATGCTAACCACCTACGAAGCTGCCACCTCTGCATGTTAAATGTGCTAAATGATCTACATAGAATCCCAGCATGCTCCCATCTCATTTATGTCTGGGCTTCAAGGACTTTAGATGTCGCTCCCTAGCAGTCTTTTTCTTCCCTAATTTAGCATAATGCGCGCGAATTGCATCCCTGGGCCCAGCGTACAGGACAAAGATACATTCCCACGTTGCGAGCAAATTTCTGTCTAAAAAGGCTACCTTTTCACAATATCGTTAGCTCACATGACTGAAGTGATTTCAATCGCGCAAAGACAGCTCCCCCCCCCCCCCCCCCAAAAAAAAAGTAAGTTACCATACTTCAGTGTCCCGAGCACGTCAGCTCACTCGTGGTTGATGCCATTACTCTGATGTGCACTCATACAAGCAACTGGTGAAGGATCCACACTTATAAATATATAGCTTTCCCTTAGGGAAGGACCAAAAGCAGTTTCCGTTCAGATTTCAGGGGTGCGATTGCGGAACCATTCCATTAGTGTTTATCTATGCTTTTCTATGCACCCGGCTATGCCATTAGCCATGTGCGATTGGTCGAAGTGTATACGAAGTGCGCTTCGACCAATCCCAGACGGCTAATGGCAGCGAAAAGCAAGAAAAAAAAAAGGAATAGAATCGTTCCACGATTGCAGCCCAGCTTTGCTTGCTTTTGTGGCACATTTTTCTTATGTCCAGAACATGAGTTTCGGGGTCGAAAAGGGATGTAAACATGGTGTCATTGCCATTTTCCCGACCTGCCATTACCCTGATTAAAGGGTGCCACGGTACCAGCCTTACCAGTGTGATCGTGATGGAGCAAGAATTGTTCATGAGCAAACTAGGAATTATATGTTGTAGAGTCGATATTGTTAAACACTGCAGTAGCTAGATACTGCAATCATTTTATCTTTCAAGCAAGTGCGGTGTGGCTGCTGAAGTCTATGGTGAATCTTAAGTTACTTAAGCTGTTTGAAAGTGGCCTTAAAAACTAGATTCCCCAGACAGAAAGGCACCATGATCCCACCCCATGTAAGGAGACTTTCCAGCACTCTGCGGGATTGCTCAACTTCTGGGCTTTCAGGACACAAAAACATTACCCCGTCATCTGCATCCCATCTCCTTTTTACTTTTTGAACTTTTGTTTCAGCTAACCACTATTGAGCATATACTTTTGAATTGTTAGCTAAGTGCGATTCGCATGCTGTCCCTATTTTTGTATCAATTGGAAAATTCTCGCTCCTCGCATATTGTGTAACTACTGAGTGATCTCAATTACACAACAGTCGTTCGTAAAATGGTAATCATACCTTGAAGAGAATCAATGTTTGATATTAGAACTTCGAATAAACTGCAGCTATGGCCTTTCAGACTAACTTACGTAAACTATGTGCAAAAGTGCAAAATATAATACAGTCGAATCTCAATAATTCGAACTCGAAGGGGCCCGAAAATTTGTTCGGATTAAAAGTTCGAATTGATGAAAGCTAAATAAACGAAGGACTCTCCATGCAGTGGCGCATGTGCATTGAGCTAACACACAAGGGAGAAGTTTCAGAAGACTTAATTTATTCACAAATCACAGGGCATTCGTTATTAATTGAAGTAATCGATGATTTGCATCTGCACCTGTTTGCCTTGCAGAGAGTCAATCAATTTCGCACGCAGCTTGCAAAGCATTTCTATTTCGGCTTCAGCATTCTCCTGGCAAGAGAAGTTGCGCGCGGAAATTTCCAGCGCCGACACTTCCTAAAGACGACGACAACAACGACTGCACAGCAGAGCCTCTCCGTTATGCAGCCGCAGCATGGCCAGCATGTGACGAGAAAGGAGGAGCATCTCCAAGCGGCAAAAAATGAGTGTCCCACACTGACCGCAATGGCAACAGGCGGCGCTGCTCGGCACTCTCACGTTTAAATGCATATATATACCCCATAAAGTGGACGGGGAGATAGCCGTTATGGTAGTTGGACGCATTATTCAAATGTCGTGAGAGGGGAGGCTCAAGCTACTGCACTTGTCAGTGAGTAATATATATATATATATATATAACGTGTAACCTAAACAATGAATATACACAAAATGGTAAATTGACTGAAATTATGCAAATTTTAATGTGCCGTACCTTATCAATTTCGAAGACACCTGTACAGTTACATGCGATGGCTTTTGACCCAGCGGCACATAGCGAAGCCACTTTTCTTAATGTGACATTATACACGATATGAGATTAAATTCACATGCCTTTTTCCTTCTGACCCATCCCCCTCATATGCGCAGTGACGCAAGCTTGGCCATGAGCAATTTGACGTACCACCGAGCTCCTTTATTGGGCCTCTGCCCTACAAAACGGTGTCTTGCTTCTGCGGCGATGCAATCTGGGTGGCGCAGTGTACATTTTCATTTCGGTGTGCTGCCCTCTGCCGTTTCGTAGAGCCTGAGATCAGCAGGAGAAGCAATATTGCCACAATAAAAATCTCCAATATAAGGAGACGTCTTGATACTTTAATGCAAGGATAAGGGTGCTCCTCGTACTGTGCTTCCTCCCCGCGCCCCTATCATGCGTGCTCATGTCAGTGATGTCTTGCTCGGTTGTTGGCTGCATGCCAATGACTTTTGCCGACGTTGTGTCACCTTGCCGACGTGGGCAGAGTCACAATGACTGGCTACGCCTTCCCTCTTCCTATGACGAAAAAGGGTGGCGAGGCCGGGTAAAAATTTTAAACCAGCTGAAACGGATGTTTTAGCCCCTGTAACTTCCTTATTATAGCACGCATTCGCAAAATTCTAGTGGCAGCATGTTCATATCTGTTGCTTCTGCGGCCCCAGTGTGGTGAGGGCTTGTCAAGAGGTTTAAGTCCTCCTTTTGCCTTACCTTGCGGGAAAACTATGTAGTTGTGGGTGCCCAAAATAAAATTTAAAAAAAATGTGCGCATACCGTATTTACTTGAAAATAGGTCGGGCACGAATATAGGTCGACCCCTATGTATAGTGTTCCACGAGAAAGAAAAAAAAAAGGATATTCGAATACAGGTCGACCAATGTTTTTTTTTTTTAGTTTAAAAACAGAGAAATTGAAATGTAGCACACTTTCATTTGCATAACTTGGCGCCCTAATCGCTGCCGGGGCCGTCATCTTGTCAGATGTGCAAGATGATATCATCAGATTCTTCGCAAGCATCTGCGGCTTCCCAAATCAAGTCGTCCTTGCTGCCACCACTGCCGATTGCTGGGCGGCAAAAGGCACAACGCCAACATTTGCATGCAAACAGACGGTCCCGCAGCTTTTGCCAACCCCTAATCAATGTCTCATTTACACAGAACTCACACTGCACGGCACAATTACAGAGTCCTTGGTAAAAAGTATCACTTGGCACTAGAAGACACCTCTGTAGCTCTGCCAATGTGACATCGTCGCAACTGCGCGCGACCAAATGGTTGTGGTGGTTAGAAGAAAAAGAAGGCGCTTAATTTCTGCGGCCCGGTAAGGAGCACTGCATAGGGCCTAAAGCAAATGCGAACCGCCACGCCGATCATACAATGAACAAAGTGCAAGGCAGTGACGGCGAGGCCGCAGACCAGTGCCAGTGCGACTGCATGCCAGAAGGCAGTACCGGAAGCATTGCTAGCGGGCTAAGGACTTCACGGCCAATACCTAAGGATATCGTGGGTTTCACTGCTAACACCGCGGAGCGACTGCATTTCGCGGGGCGGTATGTGGCTATTGCATAAATAACTTTTTTCTCAATTACTTAGGTATTTTCAGGATTTTATGGCATATAACATGCGTATGCAGCAGAAGCTGCTTGAAGAACAGCGGGCACAGCAGTTGACCGCCATAAGCTCGGCGCTATTTGCTGGTTTTATAGTGAATACAGGACAAGATTCTTCGGTCATGAATATAGGTCAATAGCTGGTTATAAACAACATTTTCGTCAAAAAAAAGGCCGACCTATATTCAAATAAACAGGCTATTTCTCTTCGTAACAACTTCTGGACCTCAGGGTTGTTTACTGGTTCTTGAATGGTATGCAGGCAAGGTGCCATACACCAACTATGTACAGGCGCAGCTCAGCCAGGAGTTCCACTTGAATAATACTCACATGGATTTCTCAAAGGCTCCAGCTTCACTCGACATGCCCAGTCCATAGTAGCACAGTGCTCCCAGCCCAAAGGCCGATGCTCCTGCCAGAACACCTTTCCCCACAGTGAATGCTGCAAGAAAATTGCGGTGAATTTCTTTAGGAAGAGTGTTGTAGTGTGCAGTGCATTTATTGGAGCCAGACAGAAGCATGGTTGTAAGATACATCTGATGTCCTTTCTATGTCGGGAAATGTTGATTGATATGTGGGGTTTAACGTCCCAAAACCACGATATGACTGAGAGATGCCGTAGTGGAGGGCTCCAAAAATTTTGACCACCTGGGGTTCTTTAACGTGCACCCAAATCTGAGCACACGGGCCTACAACATTTCCGCCTCCATCGGAAATGCAGCCGCCGCAGCCGGGATTCGATCGCGCGACCTGCGGGTCAGCAGCCGAGTACCTTTGCCACTAGACCACTGCGGCAGGGCATATGTCGGGCAATGTTACCTGCATAGTGGCTGCAACCAAGTAGTATTATCCAAAATCAAATAAACTTTTCAAAAGTGCCAACATATTCCAATTCAAAACGTCTCACACTTAATAAAAATCATGCCCAAGTACAGTAAAACCTCGTTAATGCAAACTGTTATTTAGAAACACCGCTCAATTCCAAGTATTTTAGCTGTCCCGTATTTTACAATGCAAGTTTGAGCAGATAATTTGAAACGGCGGCCAGCACAAGTCCGGTTAATCCGCAAACTTTGGGTGCAGTGTGCCGATTCCCGATCCCAATTTCGCCACAAATCTGGGAAAACGACGGCCCTTAAAAGGCACTAGACGATGTTCTTTAGTGATGCTAATGAGTGGTAGCCGAAGAACCTCTGCCTCGCTACTTCCAGCATTAAAAATAAAATTATATACATAAAAAACTGTCTCGTAATCTGTTGAAATATGCGCCTGTGGAAAGCATGAAATGCTTCACTGCAATACAGCAGCGGGCAGCGTGTCGCATGCTTCTTGCAACGTCAGTGCGACACGATTTATCCATTCTTTCTGTGAATTTAAAGAAATTAATAAAGGACAGTCTGGAGAAATCCGCGATGCATGCGAAACTTCGAGTGCCGGTTGCTCCATCAATTTGCGCACTTGCACAGCTAGCAGAGTTCTTGCCTGCAATGCCCACATCGAAAACTCTCGTCGAAAGCTTCAATGGTTATGTTTTCCAGCCAAAACACATAACGAATTTTGTCGCACTGTACCATCGCTAAATTCTTTATTTTATGAGAAAGAATGGGCAAATGATTGCATCATGACCTGCTGATGCAGTGAGGAGCAGGCGACATGCTGCCCGCGTGTCACTAATGTGTTGCAGTAAAAATACTTACTTTTTTGCAAGTGCGCGCTTTAGTTGATCACGTTCTTTTTTTTTTTTTTTTTGCAGTGACAGCAGTCAGGCCTTTGTTTTCGGCAAAACAGTGACCATGTATTGCTGGAAAACATAGCCCTTGGAACCACAAACTAGCCGACACAGCAAACGACCAGCCCTGATTAAATTGAGTAATTTTAAGTTCCTTGTATTTCACTTTTTGTATGTTCTGTTAATTTGAAAACCCGCTTAATCAAAAAGTTCTCGCTGTCCCAGTGACTTCGAATTAATGAGGTTTTACTGTACTGCTGAATTTAACGGAGATGGACAACAGTGGAAAATGGCACACACGCATACCTAAAGACAACGGGATAGGCTTCTATAGATGCCAAAGCTCCAGCCTTGACTTGCTGTCTTTTTGCTAGTTTATGTAGTGTTTTGCAATTCTTCTGTTTTGATTATGTACTAATTGGTCCATCACTCAATTTTGGTTAACATTACAGGTTATGAACCCAGTTTAGCCAGGTATGCAGCATTATTGGTTAACCCTTCAAACCACCTCTGATAATAAAAAATAAAATGCATGGTTTTCTACACGCATAAAAATGTTAACATGATGTAATGAACACTTTGGGGCAACTTGTCATGTCATCTACCATGTATCAATGCTATCTACCATGTAGGGTTGTTATTTTTCAGAGCCACGACTTCAGACTACGTGACTGGTGAAGCTGTTGCTAGCCTACTGCAGTATTATGCAAGCACTTGCTTTTTGACAGCGGGTGATAGCTGTACTGCCCACATGGTGTTCATAACAATACCCTCACTGAAGCTGCCACCACTGGCTGCACCAAGCAATCTGGCATTCCCTTTAAGGCTCATTCACATTTGCCACCAGCCCATCACACGACCAGTCACAACTGGTGACTAAAAGCGATTCAAAAGTTACCATTGTTCACACCTGCACACGACCTATACTCGTTGCTACACTAAATTCACACCTGCTCGCATTGCACAAATTGTCGTGCTCTGTAAAATAAGCTGACATTCTGACCTTGCAATCTGATTGGTTCAGAGGTTGCAAATTTAGTTGCATAACTGAAAAATCGAGCAGCGAGCGACTGAGCAAAAGTAGTCGCTTTGCGACCAAACTGGTCATTTACGACCATTTGAGACTGTGGTAACACAACTGGTGCATAGCTTCGAACAAGCCTCAAAGGGGCACTGCAGCCCAAACTATGCATATTGTTTTTATTGGCCGTTTGCCATGTACCTTGATGACTGCTATGGCACTGGCGAAAGTGGTGAGAGCAATGTTTGATATTTAAATTTGCTTACAAAGTAGATTTCTGAGCCGACTATGTCGTACATCAACATGTTCTGCTGCTGGAAGTGAGGTACAGGGCTGGTTACAAGTTCACAAGCCCTGCTTCCATACAAATACATGAGATAGTGGCCTGCAAACTTATGACAGCTTCCCTCCCCCCTCGTATATGCAGGGAATCTTGAATGATTGGGAATGAAAAATATATATTATGCCCAATTATGATGTACTCAGCCTGAGGAATTTATCATTGTAGTGTGTTTAATGCTTGGCAAAGCTGCGATAAAGACACCAATTTAAGCGCCACAATAGACCCTTTGCATGAATACACCACCTGATAGTGGGCTTTTCGTCAGTTTTGATTTTTCAAAGTTCCGGAATAGAATTTGCCATGCTTAGGGCAAAGGAGCGTGACTCTGTACGAGTGCCCGTGTAGTGTGTCTGAGTGCTGCAAGCCGCCTGCATCTCACCATCTCCAAAACCACTGCAAATGAAAGCGCTCGTGCCTTGCTTTGCAAAAGTACTGCAACTGACAGCGAACCAATCAGCCGGGTGGACGAATCATCAACGCGGCTGCCGCACCGAGGTAGACGCTATATCCCATCCAGCTCGGACTTCAATAGCCAGTAACGTGGAATATCTTTTACCAGAGCTAAAATCTGCTGATGAGAAGTTACGTTCTCATAACTGTTGCAGCATCACCGATGAGGCTGGGTAATACATGAAGATGATGTGTGCCTTAATAAGAGAGGAGCAAACTCTGTTATGTGGCTTTCAATGTGCTGTTTCACATCACCTGACATTTTGGTTGTTTTGATATTTCATTTGTAACTGGTCATGACGGGATATGCGCAGGTTCGTGCATGGCTCACACGAGCATTCACAACTGTCAAAACTGAACAAAACATACACCCGGATTCATACATTTTTTTTTTACCAAACATTTTGCATAGCTTCAACAGCAGTGCACTTGATGTGTGAAAGTGAGTGTACGGTCAGGTCCGTTGAGGCATCAAGACAACTTCGTTACCAGTAACGGCCTTCTGCTAGTCAAAGTACACACTATGTACAGTACGGTCCACCGTTAAGGGGAACACGCGAACGTGTGGCCCGCGTGGCGTGAACTGGTGGCGAGATTTGTAAACGTGGCGCACGCATATAAAAGCGTGAAGGCGGCGCTTGTCGTATTTCGTCTGCTACTTTCCGCTCCTGCGCTTGCAGAGCGCTTTCGTTTTTCTGCAGAGCGATTCATGCTGCCGCTGATCTGCCGGCGCCCCGTCAGATAGTCGGCAGGCACATAGAAGGTCCAACTTACTTCTTGTGTGATATCTTGACACTTTTGAAACGATGCAATTAATAACCACAGCGGTGAAATTTTAATTAAAGGTGATATACAATGAAAAGCCATGCAATTATATCTAGAAGCATGGTGATAAATGCTTAATAATAATAAATGTTGGAATTTAACATCGTAGATTTGGAGCGACGGAGTGGAAGGCTCCAGAAATTTTAACTATCTGGGGTTGCAGTCAAAGTACACGGGCCTCGAATATTTCCGCCTTCATCAATAATGCAGCTGCCGCAGTCGGGATTTGATCCCATGACATCAGGCCAGCTGTCAAGTACCGTAAACCCTATACCATTGTGGCGAGTTAAGAAAACACTTGAGGATGAAATCTCTTGCAGGACCAATACAGCGAGATCCCTATGTTCTGGCTTGCTGCATCCATGCAAATATTAGTGCTAACGTTCCAAATTGCACGAGTTTTTGATTAAAGAAGCAACATCTGAAGAAGTTCCATATTTTGAATTGCGATAACATGCACCTTTATGAAAAGTATGGCGCTTCAATATCTGTGCGCATGAGAAATTAAATACGTAAAACACGAAAGATAAAAATTATTCGTCATATTTTTGTGACAAAAGATGGAGCAGGCCAGATATACAGCCTCTCAACGTTAGAAGAATGAAAAGCTTCATTTAGTATCGGGTGATGTCACCTCCAGCGTCGAGTACAGCGTTCATCCTTTCAGGTGGAGATATGTCGAGAGCTACCGTGAAGGATGAATCGCACGTAAGGGGAGATGCTACTCGAAGACACTTTATTTTTTAATATTCACCGTAGAGCAATAAAACTTGAGTTGCTTATGGAACTTTTTATGCTGATTTCAAATATATAACTAGTTTTCTTGCAGGTTGTTTACTTTTACCTCTGCAACATGACAAAGTGAAAACTTTAACCCTTTTGCCCTCCCCTCTTCCCATCCCTAAACTTCTGTAATTTTTTACCATACATAGTTCATAATGTTTCAAATAAAGTGAAGAATGCAAATAACTAATCAGGAAGCACATACAAAATATGTAATAGGTGTGAAAAATAAGAAATGTAAGAAGTCCATATTTCACCTACCCTAGTAAATGTTTACATAGAATTTTTTTATTATACAAGAAAATATTGAAATTTAAACTTAATAACTGCATGTGGCATACTTTGGAAAAAATTTGGGCGAAATTTCATGCAGATCTTAGCACTAAAAGGGCCCGAAAAAGGAGGGGCACATTGGAAAAAATGGCAAAGTTTGTGTTTTGAGAAAAAAGAGTTTTAAAGATAAAATTGAGTTTTTATTTATGAAAGATAATATTAAATCTGATGAAATTTGCACACCAAAAAGAACAATCCTTGTAGTGGCCACTGCGACTAAAATACACCAGCACCAATACTTAGTCTCTCTCAGCTTTTTCCAGCCGACTCTTCACACACATTTCCCTCACAGACAGGGCCATGAAACGCTTGCCAAACTCCCGCTCCATCTGGCAGAGCCTTGTGGCAACTGCAAGCTAGGAAGAAGTTCGACAGGACTGTGAAATCCAAACTAAGTCCAGTGTCATGCCATTTTGCAGCCATGTTTGTGCCACATACTGTCGTACATAATGCCAATGTCATCCTTGCTAAGTTGTCTCACTGAGAGCTCTTTCGACCTCGCAAGATAGGCGCTGACGTCATCCATTGCCGCATCACGAACTTTCCGGCTGACGGGTGTGAATGACTTTTGATGCATTGGTTTTGATTTTGATGCATCGGCCGCAAGTTTGGCATTGATCGCAAGATGGTTTGATTTTGATGCATTGGTCGCAAGTGAAAGCCACACAAGGGCTTTCACTTGCGAGCAATGCTTTTTTGCTTCATAGCAGAGATAATTACACGAGAAAAGCATTGTTCAGCTGAGCTGCTCGACAAGACATGGACCCCGCAAATAGGCTTCACAGCACGTACAGGTGCACAGTGGCCAATGGCAGTCCCCGATCCGTACCACGTGATAAGCCAGTCGCGGCGCTCGAAAAACGCGCAAAAGCGTGCTTCTTTTAATTATTTCTTGCGCCACATCAGCGAGGGAAACTGTTGTTGCTTGAAGAGTGAGGCTCGACTCTTCGATTAATGCGATCAACAAAGGCGAGCGGCGGCGCATTATCGGCGGCAAGGTGCTCGAAGACTGCACACTTTGGACCTTTTAACAGGCACCTTGTGCTCTTTAGATGCAATTTTAAAGCATTTCCAGTTAAGTCTCGACCTGTACTTTTTTTTTTTCATAACAGTAGAGGTACTAATATTATCAAAACAGGCCAAAATTAAAAATTGATAATTTTGAAAAAAACTCGCGTTTTTCGACCCACATCTCCCCTTAATTAAGCCATTCCCACTCTTCGTTTATGGAAGCCTAGAGGTCATTCATATATTTGACGCAGAAAGTTTGGCGAGAGAAAGAGAAGATTTCATTCTGTCTCACACAATTTTAATTAAGTTCAAGTCAGGTGACTTGGGGAGAAGGGGCACATCAGCACCGTCACGGTCTTCAGTGGCCTGTTAACCACGGCAGCGACTGCACGCTCACTGTATTTTTAAGTGTAGAGCTCGACTATGAGAAGCTTTTCACCCTCAGGTGCCCTGGCCGTGCCACATATAAAAGCTGGCACCACGAAAAATTCATTCAACGAAGAATTACGCCCGCAGCTGTGGAATTCTGTAAAAGCGATAACAAAGCCCATCACTTGCATAACCTATAGTGTCAATGCTCACAGAAATGTTAGTCGTAAGCTTAAATTTGCAGAACTCTCGTACCAGCCGGCTGCCTTTGATAACAGACAAAAAAACTAGTGCTTCATTCATTGAGCACAGCCGGCTTCTTCCAACCCCTAAAACATAGCACGGCGCTAGCGCCGTGCTATGTTGGTCGCGCACTCTCCCTAACAGTGGACAGTACTGTACATGCTATGGTGGCTTAACGTGATTGCTGCCCTCGCTACCGTGTCCCGACTCTACCGGCAATATCAACAGACCACCAGTTTCATTCTGCACGCTTCATGACACTGAACTGCTATGCCAGCACCGTACTTCCCATTGTCCCGCAAAGCTGGCGGAACTCCACATTACCAGTGGCGAGTACAGAAGCCACTGCAACATGCTTATGATGATCCATACCGGGCCATCCATTTTACATACAAATACACAGCATACCTACACAGCCTAGTGTTTCTACAACAATAATGACATCGACACATGTGCAGATAGGAAACATGCGTGATTGTTGCATCGGTCTGTCACACAAACCTTTCTGCTATTGTCGTGATCCCCCTGTTGGCCACACAATGAAACGCCGGACCTTTCAACTTCAGCAACACATTTATGACACAATTCACAACACGCGAGGTGGCTGTCCCGTTGGCAGAACATCGCATACCGGTAGTCGCAGTAGGTAGCGTCCCCAACTTTAGTCGCAGACAACGTCGTCTGCTCTGGCTCCCTAAACATGGTGGCTTGAAGCAGTGCCTGTGAAAAGCACTTGGGGCGCATGCCCTTTTACAAAAAGGGTCTATTTCAATTTCTGTGCAAGTGACAGGCAGCTCTAATGAACGACATAAGCGAAGTGCAGCCTTCATTAACGCACCATACTTGGCACTTTTGCATCAGTGCAAAAATATTCATTGCTGTATGGCAAAACACACAATTTCCTGCTGATACTCATTGTTTCTGGGCTTGCTCTAGCTCTCACATGACAGTGTAGAATCATTGGCTGACTTGTGCGGCACAAAAGCCTCCGAAGAATGTGGCAACCAATTGTAGCAGGAAGGCCACGTTGTGCTACAGGATTCTCGTATGGCTAAATGTAAGCTCTGTTTTGATTGTAACCAGACAATCAAGCCTGACACATCCCTCGGTGAGTGAATACGAAAAAGTAAGGTGATTTCTGTTGTCTGCTGCTATTTTGAATGTACAAGTTCAATATATTTTGTTTTGATGTGTCTAATTCCAAAACCCTTGTTGCATTAGTTATAGGACGATACAAAAAAACTCTTTGCAATGCTGAATTCGGCAGATAAAATTTGGAGACAGGGCCTTTTCAGAAGTGGTAGGGGTACAACAGCCAAAATACAATTTGGAGCAATTTTTCGAAGCAACAAATTGCTATTTTTGGAGCACCAAAATCCAAATTCGGAGCAGGTTATGAGAAATAACCCCCCCCCCCCCCCCCCGAATTCATTATTTTATCCTTAAATACCAAATTTGCAGAAGTATGAAAAAGAAGCCGTACATTTAGAAAAGAATATGTACAAGCCATTCAACATCCCCTAATTTTTGTAGTGTGAGTAAGAGCCCTGCCATTTAAATAAATAGTATTTTGAATCACCCCACTGAGCAAATAATGATAACGTCCACATTAGAAAATTGCCGTGTTTCACTCTGCAAATTCGAATGTGCATCTGCCAAGCCGGCGATTTCGAAATTCATAGGACTCATGGGGGTGGCGGAAAAAAAAATCTGGCACAGTTTTTTTAAGGCACCAGAAATGTCACACACTACTCCAAATGATTGCCAGTGACTTTTTCAGACGTCATCGATTCCACTAGTACTCAGAAATGCGTCGTATACACATGAGTAATTGAACGAAATTTGCTGTGTCCCATGATTAATGCTAACAGCCCCTTCAAATTTTCAAATTTGAAATGCGCTTTCCGCAGGGCACCGATGTACTGCGGCAAAGGTGCATTAAGCAGTGTTGTGCACAAGTACACCCCTCCCCCCCTTTTTTTTTTCGTTTTTCGCGACGGATTAGGTTTAGAGCACAACCTCTTGGTTCAATTGCGACACACGTTCGACCAGAAAAAGTAACAACATTGTGCGCTTGTCGGCCTGGCGACGGCACTAAATATCTGTCGCCGGGACGACGCAACTTCAAGACAAAAATGTTTCATGCGCCGTCCCTATGGCAAACAACGTGGTCGCCGGCAATACCAATTTTCGCAGCACGTCACATCTGTATGTGCGTGGGAAACGCGGCATACGCTTCCAGCTTTTAGTTGCTAACACGCCATAGCCACGTTCACCCCAAGACCAAGAAGCTCATATTTCCCGTGAAGTGTTGGTGACGACGGCGACGCTTTTTTTGTCTTCAAAGTGCATTGTCCCGCCGACATGTATCTGCAGCAGTCAGCGGACTGGCGGCGCGCGGCTTTGTTACTTTATCTGGTCGATCGCATGTGGCGAGCGGCCTGACCTAACAAGAATATATCTTACACCGTGGTTTAGGGTCTGCGTGCTTTGATTAATTACGGAAACTGTAGATAGCCAACGTGGCCACAGTTTCTCACTGAAATAAGCACAACTGAGAAAGCTTTGAGGCTGGTCGAACATTTTGGCGCAGCTCGGTGCAAAAATTGGGAATTCCATCAAATTGCCGCAGCTGTTACACCCCTGCAGTGGACTACTGTGTACAGGGGTGACAGAAAAAAGTGCCCACAGTATGGTGCACTAATGCTCCCCTGTTTGCATTTTCTTTTCATTGTGCTCTTAGCAATCTCAAAAATATGTAGTCGTCCTTGAACGTGTATCATGCTTGACTCTGGTGTCTTTTTTTCTTACCAACCACGCTACAATCGCTTGAAAATAGATGCAAACAACAGGGTGGCTAGATGCCCACTGTTTACTTTCCATCACAATAAAAGATTACATGATTAGTTTGCTTTCTTTTCCAGTTTTAGGACACTCAGTCTCCCTCCTTGCATTTTATTATCCAGCAAAGAGGCATTATTCTCCATGGGGATGACATATGGGGGTACATTTTGTAATTTACAGATGGCCAGCTTAATGAAATGGCTCACCTGAATCACCAGCGGGGGCCATGACTATCTCGCGAAGGGTACGGCGCTTGGGGGTAGCGGCCTGAAAGCGGGCCGACCGTGTTCGTGTTGACATATTCATAGTCTTCTGGGTCATCGTAAGCCATCGCAATGGTGCTGGTCCAGGTGCAAAAGCCTTGGCAGATGCCCTGGCAGCAGCGGGCAAAAGGCAGCACTTCCACACCACCAGCATGCTGGCCTTATGAAGTTGCTACTGCTCTTAACAAATGCCCTCTCTGCATTGAAATCGAAAGCAAATGTACTACTGCATGCAGTAAAAAAAAACAAAAACTACAGCACACGAAATGACAAAAAGTCAAACAAAGAATGTCGTTAGAACAAACTTCACAACAAAAAGCTTGTCTAAATCAGGGCCGCTATCATGATAAAACTAGTGCACATCAGAAGGTTGGCTCTGCAACATACCTCGTTTAACAACTTTTAACCACTTCAAGCCTCCAAGATAGTCTGTTCCGTTCCCACAACACAGCAGGATAGTCAAAAATAGAAATTGCAAAATATCTTTCAAACCAATATATTTTTCAGTACAGTCTTTTCCAAGTGCCATTTTTACTTTAGAATAGCTTTATGTATTGCAAGTTATATTCCTGCTATAGTGTTTCTAAATTCAAAAGAAAGCAAAAAAATTATGCCATCCTCCCATCCTGATTCACTTTTACACTCTAAGCCTTTAGCTTTTTATAGGTGACAAAAATACAGCTGGTAAACTAACCTAGCTTTCCATAAATTAAGAACTTACATAGGACAAGAAAGTCTTTTCAACTTGGCATGTAACCACACATTAATTGATAAATGAGAACATTTATTTACTGATAATGCTATGCCACTGTACATATGCGTGCATACTCCTCTTATTACATATACAGCTCATGCTGCCTATTACTAGAAATAGAAGCATAAAGTTATTTATTTTTACTGCACAGATATGTTAAAAGGTATTGTGGCAAATAAGTGAGTGACCAAAGTGGCAAGGGCCTAAGATTGGGCTCCTATTGCTGCTTCATCCTAAATATTGATTGAGATAGTAAGCGGAGCCGTCTGTTTTTGAACAAAAAAATCTAGCATCAAATTTAATTACTTCCAATGTACTGTTATGAGCACTATGACAAGGAACACATTTGTGCATGGCAAAAGCCTCAAAACCAACACAGCATGATTTGTGGCAACCACCGTCTGAAACAAAGCAGAAAGGGCGCCACGATCCTCCTAAGTCTGCATGCCCACCTCACTATTGCCGAAATAAAACTGCCGCTGAGTGCACAACAGGGGTCACACGTGAGTATAGGTCGTGTATTCTAAGCAGAGTGTAACCAGTTTGCACAAAATACTGCTTTTCTGTTCACTTGTGTGTGTGCTTGTACAACATAAAATCAAGATTCTGTAAAACACGATTTTAAAAAATGGTACTGCTTTTATCTGCATTTGAGTGCTGCAATATCAAGCCAATATTTGCGTGATATATTTAGCACATCGCAAAAAGCAGATGTGTTCGGAGTGACAGCTATTCGTGAAAAAGCCTCACCCTTTCCACCTTATCTTTGACATCGCCATCAAAGTATCTGTTAAAGCAGGGTTTCAGGCTATTAGCTACATAGTTGCATGTACCCAGTCATATAGTTTGCAGTTGCATCTTCCATGCTTCAAGGTTATCTATAAACACAACCTTAGACAATTAGTCACAGATGAGCAAGAACGAATGTAGAGGTTTGGTCATGTTGGCAGCACAAAGCATAATCGAAACAGTGAAATAAAGAATCACTGAAACCCACGCATGGCATCGTGAGCGTATTTCAGCCTATATGATGCCTTTCCTGCAGAGCTAGTTTTGATGCAGACCTCAGTGCGTGTTTCACAAAAAGCACCGGGACGCAGACATGTAAAAGACAAGATACATTCAGAAGAACTTTTCGTTAGGCTAGTTGGGAGTGCATTTTTAGCATAAAAATAATCTAGTGTAAATACGGCACACACACACTGGAAACTCAAAACACGTACGGCACTCACTTAAAACTGCTTACTCATCGTATGAATACTGAAATTCTTATACTCTATGTGTCGCATATGCGCATTACCACCATCAAAACCATCCACACATCATATTTATAAAATTCGGCAGATTCTACGTACCCTGGGAATCTACGTAATGAGAAGCATGTGGAGGGAAGGTGTTCGTGTTGCAATTATTTTACCGAGTGACACATTATAAAATGACACTAAATATATGTACAAACGTTGCACACACAGACATATGAGTGGGCACGGCAGCACTGCGAAAGCAATGCCGCCTAATATGCCGCTTCTGTAGCTCGAACAGGCTTTCTTCGTCTGCGGATCACTACAAGCTGGGGCATACAGCGCATGCGTAGAAGGACCAGCTGCTGACACCGCTGTTATCGACCACAGACACATCGTCGACGCTACCCTCGAGCGCAGGCACCCTGGAACGCGCATAGAGCGGTTCTTCGCGGGACCTATAAAGTTGGACCCCCTGCCAGCAGCTTTCAGTGGGCATGGCAGCATTGCGAAAGCAATGTCGCCTAATATGCCGCTTCTGTTGCTCGAACAGGTCAGTTTTTACTCAGAATACTGTTACAAAACTGACAACAGATTTGTTGTTGTGCTGCCATGCCCAAGTGTACTGTTTGTTCTCTGATGCAAAAAAGAAAGCTTCAGGCATGTGCGCAACTTCAACAAGGCCGATGATACAAGCATAATTGATTACTTGTCGTTTTCTTTGGATGCGTTTAGTGAGAAAAGTGACATCAATAAAATGTGAATAAGGTATAAAGAAGTTGTCACGCTATGTATCAACAAATTTGTGCTCTCGCAAAAAAAGAAACAAAATAAACAGAATCTTTGGATGAATAGGAAGATAATACATTTGAAGCGTGCCATTACCCGCCAGAGGGCAAAAAGTAAACAAAGATCAATCCAAGAAACGCAAGTTATCAAGACTTCTGCGTGCTGAACTGAAAGAATCAAAAACAAAGTATTACGAAGAAATATTGCCGACATTTATAAAATCTTTCCCCCATCGTTTTGGCGTCACTTATCTCAGAAGGAAGACCACTCAAGACACGTGCATTCTCTTGTTGTCAATGATGAACTGGTGACAGACTGCTCTTCAATCGCTTACCTACACAACAGATTTTTCCAGTCAGCGTTTACTGCTTGTCCTGATAATGGTGATGCATCCACGCCACTTCCTTCTCCGTTGTCAGTTATGCCTGACGTTCAGATCACTTATGAAGGCATTGTATCATTATTACTGAACATGAACGTGAAAAAGTCGATCAGACCAGATGGCATACCAAATGATTTACTGCGAAGGTATGCGGAATGGGTTGCGCACTATTTATACATAATATATAATGCCTCAATAGAGAAAAAGCGTGTCCCAAACGACTGGCTTATGGCAAAGGTCGTGCCAACGCATAAAGGTGGAGACCAACAAAAGGTGGAAAATTACTGTCCAATTTCCCTCACCTGTGTATGCTGCAAGCTTTTAGAGCATATTATATCCAAAGCTATGTATACGTATCTTGAGGGCACAAAAACATTTTTTCCTAATCAGCATGGTTTTCAGCATAATTTATCCACTGTAACCCAATTAATAGAAACAGTCGATGACTTCACGCGTGCCTTAAATAATAGTGTTCAGATTGACGCAATATGTCTCGACTTCTCAAAAGCCTTTGACAAGGTTCCCCACAGGGAGTTAATAAGTTAGCATACCTAGGCATAAATTATAACATAATACAGTGGATAAGTGCGTACCTGACAGGCAGAACACAATATGTAGAAATAAACGGCTTCAAATCTGAGTTATTAGGCGTTACCTCAGGGGTACCGCAAGGTTCAGTTTTAGGACTGATATTATTCTTAACTTACATAAATTACATTTCATGCGGCATAGATAGAAGTAGTACAGTGCGACTTTTTGCAGACGACTGCCTAATTTATAAAGAAATACACAGTGAAGCTAACCAAAAAACGTTTAATGATATTCTTGATGCTGTCAGTAAATGGTGCACTGAATCTAAAATGGAAATAAATCAAACAAAAACAGTTGCTTTGCGCGTCACAAACAAAAGTAAGCGTGTCTTCTATTCCAATTACACTCTATGTTCTACCTGCCTGTCTACCGTCAATGAAATAAAATATTTAGGTGTAACGATATCCAGTAATCTAAATCAGAGGAACCATTTGAAAAACATTTGTGCGGTGGCGGAGAGAAAACTATGGAACTTGCGAAGAAAATTAAGACTTGCTACGACTCTCGTTAAGCTAGCAGCATATCTTACGTATATTCGGCCAACATTGGAATATGCCAGCATTGTGTGGGATCCCTCGGAAATCGGCCTCATTAATATGCTAGAAAGAGTACAAAGGCGAGCTGCCAGGTTTATTCTTTCAAAGTACTCCTCGACTGAGTCAGTAACAGAAATGCTTCGCGCTCTTCAACTGCCCACTTTAGCTGAACGACGGCAATTGGCAAGGATGAAGTTCTTGTGTTTATTGTAAAAAAATAAATTAAACATAAACACAACAAAATACTTAACGCCACGCCGCAGAAAAAAACCTAAGAAGTGTAAACGATTACACATACGAAGTGCCACAACAGTGTGTCAATGTTTATGCGAATTCATTTTTTCCAAAAACAATTCGTCAGTGGAATGCTTTGCCATTACCACTGGTTCATTGTGATTCACTGGAAAAATTTGAGAAAGGGCTCAAAGATATTTTTCTGTAAGCATGGTCTACTATGTTAATTTGTTGCAATTCATTTGTATGCTTAATACGACTGCACTGTTTTTCCTTCAGCCTCAATGCCGGTGTTTCCAATGTATGTCATGTAACATTTCCAAGTTCAAGTGTTGCTGTTTAAATTGCTGTATGATTTGAATGTATTGATGTTTGTTATTCTTAGTATGTCCCACCCCTGTAACAGCCGAAAGGCTAACAGTATTTGGAAAATAAATAAATAAATATGCTTAACCGTCGCAGATGTTCTTGTAACCAGTTGTTTGCACTTGCACAAGGATGACAACAGGAACACGAGCATTAGCAACACCAGAAGCCATAACTGATATGAAGTGCGGGTGCTCACTAAGATGATTGGCCAGGACACTGCTACATATACCGACTTCAGCTGATGCCACCTAACCCCAAAAGACGTTAAGCCGACATGACAGCTCTATGATAGGAGTACGTATGTACAGCTTATAAGATTGGATAGTCAGAACTGCAGTTGACGTTTCACAAACATTACGGTCTACTTGAAAACCAGGTCCGAGGCTTGGCCTCGCTCTGTAATAGAATACTTGATTGTCGCGCAGAATGCTGGGGTTTGAATTCTGCTGAGACCCTGACTTTTATTCTTTGCATTCATCAGGTCAATGCTGCCGATGTCAGCTTTTTCTTATAGCTTAAGCATCAAAATTACCCATGTCTGTTCTTGCCATTCCTGGGTAAATACTAAATGTCAATCATCTGTGGCACATACCCGCCCGATGGTATACTGTCTAAGTGACGACATACGTGACGGGATTGTGAAATTACTCATGTCTTGACTTGCGTGTCACATTGGCCAAACCGTCTTACCCTCCCATTCTAATTTTGAACCAATGTTAAGGGGGTGATCACGAGAGCACCCAGACGTAAGCAGCTAGATAGATAGATGCCAAAGTGCTTGCAGTATGCTATGAATTATTCGCATTTTATATACTTGTCACAGGCCAGAATTAATCAACCGCATTTGGCTGGTAAAGAGTGACAAAAATGGGGCACTTAAGCAGCGGTGTCCATTCTTTTCTGAGAAAAAGGTATCTAATACCTCACGTGCTCTCTTTCTTGTGCTTCTGCCAAGAATGTGCGTCTGAGAAAGACCTGACTTACACCCACACGTAATCAGACGCACATTGCTGTCTTGACTGCGCTCGATTATTTTTACACCGCAATTATGCATCAAATCGCAAACATAACGCACCAACAAGGCAAATAGTCAACGCTCGCTGAAGACAGGAAATCATCTATTGCATTCCCAGGGCTAATCGGAGGACCGAAATAAAGGTCAACTAACGGACAAAATGTCAGTTTCACACGTACAATGAATTCTAAATACACACATATCAACTATACCGAGAAAAGCAGCACTAAAAAGCCAAGATAAATTGAAAATCATGCGAGATGATGCAAGTGTCGACACGAATACAAATGCGAATCAAAGACGCATTAAGGGCTAACATGCGCCATTTTTGCTACCAAAGCAAAGCAATGCAGCAAATCACACAGGGATATGGTATATTTATCGGTACACACAAATAGACGTAGCGAAAGCGTCTAAAACTAATAATAGGTCGGGAATAAGTCGAAAGCGTGGTGGCTAGGGAGAGGCCAAGCAATCATGCAGCAGGGATGGAAACAGCAAAGTAACCATAAAAACATTTCCTTACACTGCTATAGTCGATCTTAAAGCGTTGAGAATCGAGCAAGAGCTTGGGAAAAAACAGAACGCAGAGCAAAACTGCGAACCGAAAGTTCGCGAACAGCTAGAATACCTCAGCAAGCTCGTTCCTGTTGATGGTTTGATGGCTGTGACGATGGGACTGGATGGGCCGTGTGCGCCGTGGCGGTTTTGACCGGCGGTGGCGTGGCAGTCGTTCCGAGTTGGTGGCGGGTGGCGGCGCCAGTGGACCGAAACTGCAAACTTGAAAAGCTATTCTGCGTCGTTTTCTAAAGGCTGAGAGAACTACATAAACAGAAGTCAGATAACTGGCAAAAGTTTTGTAAATGTTCTTTTTTCAGCACCAGATACTGAAATTTTTAAGGCGGAGACTGCTGCGCCGCCCGGCGCACAAGCCACTCCCCCCCCCTCCCCCAGAAACGACTGCTGCGCCGCACAGAAGTGACATCAGGCAATTTTCTGGTTAGGCGCTTTGCTTGAATAGTCGGAGTGTCTAGCGGTGCGTCTAGACGTAACGATAAAAGCAATACAAGTAACTTTCAAACCTGAAAGTAAAAAAATTAAAAAAAATATGTTAGGTCCAGCGTGACAACAATACAAAATAGACTTGTTAATCGCTGTAAACCAATTGGTGGTTGTGGCCTTGTCGGTTAGAGCGGCACAATATGAGCTAGTGAGGTCGGTGGCCAAAGGGGGGGGGGGCAATTATTAACGCGATAGCGTTAAAGGGCTCGTGTCGCAGAAAACCCGCCGCCGGTGTCGGCCGCGTTGGTTGTGAGCGAAAAATCATCTGTGCGTCTGTGACCAAAATATCAAGTAATCGAGATAGCCGCGGGAGACCGCTACTTGCCCATGCGTGCGCGTGCGATCACACCGAAAAAAAAAAAAAAAACGCGCATTCGAAGAAAAAAAAAAAGTGCTCAAGGTCACGAGGGGTGGTAGTTTCTTGCCCTGCCACTCCTCCCTGCTTAGCTTCCAGCGTTTTCGTCGGGACGAGAAAAGAGATTATGCAATTGCAGCATGCGACAAACCTTTGTAACTCCACTCGCACTGTATGAATTCTTAAAATTTTTGCGGCGTTGAATTCATGAGGCAATAAGCTCTTCTAGTGAATTCATTCCATGGTTACTTGAAAAAGTGTTCCAGGGCCCCTTTAACGCATTTTGTTCGACAGTTGTCACGACGAAAACGAGCCCATTCGCCGATATTAGCGCGTGCTGGTTCAATCTACTGTGTGCGTGTTTGTGTGCGTGCGTGTGTATGTAACAAAACATAAGAATAAGTATGCACTTAGTAGCTGAAGGGTGCACTAGGGGCCGTATTTTGCTGTCGCGTTCAACTCTTAAAGGCAAAGCTTAAGGTTCCCCCAATTTTTTCAATTCATGTACAGTGTATTAATACATTTCTGGAGTTACACGTATACTGTGACCACAATGTGAACATGTGCCCCGCCACAGTGTACTGCTCCGAAAGGTTCGGCCACCCGGGATTCTTTGATGTGCATACACCGTTTAGCATCCATCAAAATTCGAGCACTGTGGCTATGAGTAGAAAGGAGGGTGGAATGAGCTCAATGGGTATTTGCGTGGACTCGGTGCTCAGCAATTTGAAATAAGAATTGCGTCAACATGTATTTTGTTAAATTGTATTTTTTCGAGGTGGTAAACTTTGTATGTGCATGATATGCTATGTCTTCGAAACTGAGACAGCACTATTTGTAAATAAATAAGATGAAGACATGCTGCTACCACATTAACTGCTTCTCTTTATCGGGGAAGCAGAATTTTTTTAACTTTTTTTCAAAATTCAAGGGACAAGTTGTCTATCCCACCACCAACTCTTGAGTCTTGAAGGTAGCGGTGCCTCAACGCACCAAACTCACACACATACTCACGCACATTCACTGATTGACTCCCGCGCTATCCAGAGAAGACGTGGCCGGCATGCATGCGCTCACCTCATGCGCATGACATGAAAAGGCGCAGTGGCACCACGAGAAGTCCTAGCTGCTGTCCATGTCGTTTTGGAGCGCCGAAACAGCAGCCGCTGCCTGCCGGTCGCGCTACTAGATCATATTCTAGTTCACTATAGACTACCCCCGTCGTCGAACCCATCGTCCAACTTTGCAGAGAGGAAAGGCGTTTGTGCAAGATGATAAAAATGGAAAAGATAGAGTGAGTGACGGAGAGAAATATGTACAAAAAGTATTGCCCCGAGTTTTCCTACACTGAGGCACTGAAACCAGCATCAGCAGCTCGCACCAATTCAACTGTATAACGGTGTCTAACCACCACAACGCCCTGCCCAACGGAAGTGATGGGTCACACAGTATATTTGTCGAAAAAGATCAAGGACGAGAAGGAACGTCAGTGCATCACACAATGATGTTCACCACGTCCCGACGACTAAAGTATACTAGAATGTGAGCGAGGAGGAATTGAGTCCAAAGAAGTGCCGAGCTGGTTAAAGGCCATTCTTAAAAAGATGAACGGCGCTAATACAAACAGGGACACAGAGAAAGTAAAGTACAGCACATCTCCTTTACTGTGTCCTTGTTCGTATTAGCGCAGTTAAACATTTCAATAATGAACATTTAACCAACTAGCACAACCTGGTGCTCTTCTGCAATATGGCGAAAGGTCGATGACCCCGAAACATTTATCTGCAGCTTCTGTCATAAACACGCGTATCCGATATATGTTGGCTCCGCCCAGAAGCAGAGACATGCCACACCTCTATTGCAACTTGTCCAGCGGCTATATTTCATGCCAAAAACATCGTGTATAAAAATGATGTTCACGGCGATTCCCACTGGATTTCTGGAAACCTGAATACAGCGCATGCGGGCACCGGTGCCGTAGTACCTACAAGACAAATGGGAAGCCTTGCGCCCCCAAAGAGCAATCACCTGGATAAAAAATTTTGGCTGACAGGAACGTTCCCAGATATGCGTCCGCCATGATGCATTCCCGGGCTGCTCATAACACTGGACGATGGACACCGTCAAGAAAAGCCCCATCCACGGTGATTTTTCTGACTACATGGCTCCGACGAACAGCGTGGTTAATTAACGAGTTGTACATAAATGAACAGCTTTCTGCCCATCGTAAGAAATATTACGCGAAGCCATGGTGTCTTCCTCTTTTTGATAAGTGCGTAGTTTTGCATCACCGTTGTGACAAGACTAGAGAGATTGTTGAGGCGTTGGAGACAGCTATGGAGGGAATCGAATGCGTCAGCATGTCTGCTGTAATCGAAGAATGTTTGGCATAACGACATTTCCTACGTTTATTTTGCGCACACACACACACACACACACACACACACACACACACACACACACACACACACACACACACACATATATATATATATATATATATATATATATATATATATATATATATATATATATATATATATATATATATATATATATATATATATATATATACAATAATAACGAGATCTAATAAACAATATCGCGAAATAATGCGCATAAAATCTAGAATCTAATCGCGCAAGTAAATGACCCCAAGCACGGGGTTGACAGTATCTAATAAGTAAAGTATTCGTCTAAATGCCAAAAAGGCGCTGCTGCACCTGGCGTGCAGCTTGTGGCAGTTTGCTCGTACGAAATGCAAATATCAGATAGAGTAGGCACGCTAAAATATCCATGCAGCATTTAGGTGCGAAAACGTATTGCCTGCAAACAGCCGAGAATAGGCTGCTGCCACTGTCACGCGTGTACCTCCCGACACAAATCAGCCAAATTTCTCACAGCACACGCACGTGCGAGAAACATACGCAGGTTTCGACAGCCGAACACAGCCTCGTCGCGCTGGTGTCCATGAATGAACCGTGGTGTCCGTGAACCGCGGGTGAGCGAAACACCCGCGGTTCACGGGGAGGCACTAAAACCAATGTTAAAATTACGCACGAACACACGTTAATCGTACTTGCAGAACCACGAACCGAAGTCGGGGCCCAAAGCGCTCACCGTGGTTGTCTCGCGTTCATGAAGCGCAACAAACTATTCGCTGATCAAATGCATGCGCAAATAAATGCATATGGCACAAAGAAAGTTCAGAAGTTCAAAACTCTGCTGGCGTTCTCAAAAATCCACTTGGTAGATATATACCCATCAAAAAGACTCGCCTTCACGCGGTGCTATTGTGGTGCAATGGGCAAGACATCTGCTTCACGTGCATAAGGTCCCGAGTTCGATTCCAGTGTGGTTTGCAGGTGTAGATAATTGTAATATTCTTAATATCAGTATTGTTTATTTTTCATCGATAGTTTGATGAAGGACAGCTGCAGGTAAAAGAGCTGCTCTCCGAAAGAGGCAGCTTGACGAAGGCCCAGAGCCACCTTTTAGCACGACAGCAGGGGCAAACAATCAGCAATGTGAAGTCAACAACTATAACACCAAATGAATAAAAAATAAATGAAGATATAAAAATCAAGTCAAAATTCTAAAAACAGCAACCATAGTAACACAGCAACTACAAAGAAATCTTAAAAACTAAACATGTGTATATCGCGCAATTAAATCTGTGTACAGTGTGAAAAATCTATGCCAGCTTTCACATATTTATTAAGTAACGTAGGAACAAAGTAGGATAACTTATCTGTGGAGTAGTTTGTTCTCGAAGTTTTTATTTTCCATGTTTCTTTATTTAGTGTTTCAAACAATGTAATATTTGGCTGCAGTTCTGAGAGGTCGTAAAAAAATGTCGACTTTCAATTCACGCCTGATTGCCAATGCTAACTTAAAATTGTAGAGACCATGTACGGGTACTATTCCAGCCTGTTGAAACAATTTGCTTGTGTGAGCATCATACGGCAAGTTAAAAATGATTCTAATATACTTCCCCGCCCTGGTGGTCTGGTGGCTAAGGTACTCGGCTGCTGACACGCAGGTCGCGGCATCAAATCCCGGCTGCGGCGGCTGCATTTCCGATGGAGGCGGAAATGTTGTAGGCCCATGTGCTAAGATTTTGGTGCACCTTAAAGAACCCCAAGTGGTTGAAATTTCCGGAGCCCTCCACTACGGCGTTTTTCATAATCATATGGTGGTTTTGGGACGTTAAACCCCACATATCAATCAATAGATTCTAATATACTTTATTTGCATCAGGT